ACAGACCAATCACAAGTAATGAAATTGAAACTGTGATTAACAATCGTCCAACAAACAAAAGTCCAGGACCCGACGGTTTCACAGGTGAATTCTATCAAACATTTACAGAAGAGTTAACACCCATCCTTCTCAAACTCTTGCAAAAAATTGCGGAGGAAGGAACACTCCCAAACTCATTCTATGAGGCCGCCATCACCGTGATACCAAAACCAGACAAAGATACTACAAAAAAAGAAAATTACAGACCAATATCACTGATGAATATAGATGCAAAAATCCTCAACAAAATACTAGAAAACAGAATCCAACAACACATTAAAAGGATCATACACCATGATCAAGTGGGATTTATCCCAGGGATGCAAGGATTCTTCAATATATGCAAATCAATCAATGTGATACACCATATTAACAAATTGAAGATAAAAACCATATGATCATCTTGATAGATGTAGAAAAAGCTTTTGACAAAATTCCACACCTATTTATGATAAAAACTCTCAAGAAAGTGGGCATAGAGGGAACTTACCTCAACCTAATAAAGGCCATATATGACAAACCCACAGCAAACATCATTCTCAATGGTGAAAAACTGAAAGCATTTCGTCTAAGATCAGGAACAAGAGAAGGATGTCCACTCTCACTACTATTATTCAACATAGTTTTGGAAGTCCTAGCAATGGCCATCAGAGAAGAAAAAGGAACACAAATTGGAAAAGAAGAAGTAAAACTGTCACTGTTTGCAGATGACATGATACTATACATAGAGAATCCTGAAGATGCCACCAGAAAACTACTTGAGCTAATCAATGAATTTGGTAAAGTTGCAGGATACAAAATTAATGCACAGAAATGTCTTGCATTCCTATACACCAATGATGAAAAACCTGAAAGAGAAATTAAGGAAACACTCCCATTTACCACTGCAACAAAAAGAATAAAATATCTAGGAATAAACCTACCTAGGGATACAAAAGATCTGTATACAGAAAACTATAAGACACTGATGAAAGAAGTTAAAGATGATACAAACAGATGGAGAGATATACCATGTTCTTGGATTGGAAGAATCAATATTGTGAAATGACTGTACTGCCCAAAGCAATCTACAGATTCAATGCAATCCTTATCAAATTACCAATGGCATTTTTTACAGAACTAGAATAAAAAGTCTTAAAATTTGTATGGAGACACAAAAGACCCTGAATAGTCAAAGCAGTCTTCAGGGGAAAAAAACGGAGCTGGAGGAATCAGACTCCCTGACTTCAGACTCTACTACAAAGGTACAGTAATCAAGACAATATGGTTATGGCACAAAAACAGAAACATAGAGCAATGGAACAAGACAGAAAGCCCAGAAATAAACCCACGCACCTATGGTCAACTAATCTATGACAAAGGAGGCAGGGATATACAATGGAGAAAAGACAGTCTCTTCAATAAGTGGTGCTGGGAAAACTGGACAGCTACATGTAAAAGAATGAAATTAGAACACTCCCTAACACCATACACAAAAATAAACTCAAAATGGATTAGAGACCTAAATGTAAGATGGACACTATAAAACTCTTAGAGGACAACATAGGAGAACACTCTTTGACATAAATCACAGCAAGATCGTTTTTGACCCACCTCCTAAAGTAATGGAAATAAAAAGAAAAATAAACAAATGGGACCTAATGAAACTTAAAAGCTTTTGCACAGCAAAGGAAACCATAAACAAGACGAAAAGGCAACCCTCAGAATGGGAGAAAATATTTGCAAATGAATCGATGGACAAAGGATTAATCTCCAAAATATATAAACAGCTCATGCAGCTCAATATTAAAGAATCAAACAACCCATTCCAAAAACGGGCAGAAGACCTAAATAGACATTTCTCCAAAGAAGACATACAGATGGCCAAAAAGCACATGAAAAGCTGCTCAACATCACTAATTGTTAGAGAAATGCAAATCAAAACTACAATGAGGTATCACCTCACACCAGTTAGAATGGGCATCATCAGAAAATCTACAAAGAACAAATGCTGGAGAGGGTGTGGAGAAAAGGGAACTGTTGCACTGTTGATGCGAATGTAAATTGACACAGCCACTATGGAGAACAGTATGCAGGTTCCTTAAAGGACTAAAAATAGAATTACCATATGATCCAGCAATCCCACTACTGGGCATTTACCCCGAGAAAAACCATAATTCAAAAAAATTCATGTACCAAAATGTTCATTGCAGCACTATTTACAATAGCCAGGTCATGGAAGTAACGTAAATGCCCATCAACAGATGAATGGGTAAAGAAGATGTGGTATATATATACAATGGAATATTACTCAGCCATAAAAAGGAACGAAATTGGGTCATTTGTAGAGACGTGGATGGATCTAGAGACTGTCATACAGAGTGAAGTAAATCAGAAAGAGAAAAACAAATATCGTATATTAATGCATATATGTGGAACCTAGAAAAGTGGTACAGATGAACCGGTTTGCAGGACAGAAATTGAGACACAGATGTAGAGAACAAACGTACAGACACTAAGGGGGGAAAGCAGCAGGGGGATGGGGTGGTGGTGGTGTGATGAATTGGGAGATTGGGATTTTCATGTATACACTGATGTGTATAAAATGGATGACTAATAAGAACCTGCTGTAAAAAAAAAATTAAATAAAATTAAATTCAAAAAATAAATAAATAAAATAAACAAGAGCAATGACTTGCCCCTGAAGATGTGCTTTGGTTTTATCATTTGTTTTAATTAGAAAGTTGCTGCATGTAATAGTAGTACTATCTGACTTTCTCAAGGCTTGAAATTACTAGCTCCCTAATACCTTTTCTTATCCAGTGATATGCTCTCTGATCCTTGCTTTGGTGAATGATGTGCTATTGAACGAGTCCTGACCTCTGCCCCCATGAGGGTGCATGGTTAGGCAAGGCTTCTGAGCCTGTGAGGGAGGTGGATGCATGAGTGTGGGGTATTTATGGGTGTCTTTCCTCTTGCTACTAATCCCATCCAGAGGAGAAAAACAGCAGTGACAACAGTAACAGTATAGGAGCAGGAAGCTAATTTTAGGATTATGTTTTGTCATCTTGTGCCTCCACACAAACTGCATATGATGCTAACTAAGGTCTGAGTCCCCTACCAGGTTGTAAGTTTCATTAAGGCAAGGGCCTCACCGATCTTGTTCCCACTGTATCTTCAGGACCTATCACATGGGAAGAACTCAATAAATATTTATTCAAAGAATGGATGAACAAATGAATGAATCCCTTCATCTCTCCATGTATCCATCAGTGGAGGTTGGGAAAAACCACCTATGCTTCTTACCACAGTTATTTCCCACTAAATTTTGCATATAATACCATTAATTCATTCATCCATCCATTCACTCAATCACTTAGTGTTTCATTTAGCAAATATTTCTCATGCATTTATTAAGTTCCTGGCCTTCTGCTGAACAATGAGAACTCAGTGGTGAACAAAGCTGACATTGGTCCCCACCCTCATTGGGCTTACAGTCGAGCATGGGAAACAGGCATTAAATACATCATCCCAAGCTTGACGGATAGACATTCTAATAGGGGAAAAGCAGGATTTAATGAAAATGAACATTGAGGGGGCCTATCGAGGTGAGAATGTTGAGGCCGACTGGATCAGAATCCTGACGATGAGTTAATAAACACCTCTAAGAACACATCTGGCCCAGCATGCCTCAGAGTGCATATCACAAACAAATATGAAGGATAGGCTATGAACCATTTGCAACAGAATTGGTGTCAGAGATGTGAAAGGACTTCTAACCAGGGAAAGCTTTGGTTTATGTAAGTCTTTATGTAACCAAAGTCTTCAGCAAAGCTTTGGTTTGCTGAAAGGTTCCAGGTTTATACATTAGCACGATAGTCAGGATACACCTTCCTGCCCTAATTTGATCGTCCGTTCATTGTGCTCCACTTATCTTTTGAAACAGGTTCAGTACCGCTGTATAAGCATAATGACACTCTGTACTTTTTAATTCTGATATTAAGTTTTAATTTATTTTGGTTGCTTCAGGGTGTTTAGAATATATTAATGAGTAAATTATTCTACAGTATTTGTATTCTGGATTTGTTCAAATGAGGAATGTAATTTTAGATCTCTAGATAACTAGACCTGTTTAAAATAGTATTTACACTGTCTGAACATGTGTAGCTTAAGGGAAGGAACCTGTGTGCAACAGCATTAGAAAATAATGTGCATTTCTTTTTCTTGCTGTCCTATATATCTTTGCAGTCACATTCTCAGCTCACTGACAAACATCACTAATCCAACAGTAATGTCTCTGCCATACCTAAAACAATAAAAGAGGAAACCAGTTTAAAAGGTCACAGCAATAACTAAATCTGAGACCCAGACACCTTTAAAAAGTCTGTAAATCCAGCTGAAGATTTTCTAGGATGGTTCTAGGCTTTTGGATATATTCTGCTATTTTAACTGAGTCATTAGGGAATCACACAGCAAAATATCTGCTCCAGAAAACTGAAAGTGTATTGAATGCTAACCTGAGGGAAAGGAAAAGGAAATCTTTTGCTGCCATTTCTCTTTCCTTCCTTCTGAAATATCCCTCAAAAGAGAAAGACCCGCGTGGAAATAAAGCAGCTGACGTGCTGGCAGCGTGGGCTCCAACAGAGATGAGGAGAGGCTGTCACCGGTGCACAGACCCACCCACCATCCACCACAACACTGTGATTCATGTTGTCACACCACATGGCAACAGGAGGAGCCCGTGTTCCAACACCATGATGCTTTATTACAACCACGTGTATTTCCAAACCTTGGGGCGTGATTTCGCCTGTCACTGAATTAAGTAAAACATTTGGAGGATTAAAGTAAAAAAAAAAAAATACAGTGAATATCACAGTGTAATAACTGGCAAAGAAGCTCATAAGCCTTCTATGTACATTTTAATAGCCAACATTAGCAATATCCGACATTTTACAGCCTTAACAGCCAATAAAGAAACTTACCCGTATCTGAAGTAAGTGCTGAACTGTCTGCAGAGGCGGTGAGCGAGTTCTTGTTTACCACATGCTTGAGGACCAGCTAATACCAACATGGGATAAGGGGCATCCAGACTAGGAAGGGTGCTGCAACAGGGCAGAGCAGACATGCATATTAATGCATCCAGTGTGTAAAGTGTCCATGTCACAATCACAATTAATCCAGTAATCCAGCATTTACTATATGTAGACACTCTATGGAAGGATGGTCCTACTTTCCAGAAGCAAGTCGACTGCAAAATAGCAAAAATATTTACCTTAACAAGATTTTTTAAAGGAAAAATATGGTAAGAGATATTAATTCTTGGTTGATAAAGTATTCCCCCCAAGAACTTCAAAATGAAAGAAATAAGACTGCCCTCTGAGAGGTAAACTTTAACATCTGTATCTATCCAATTAGAACACAGATGTGAAACTAACACAACATTGTAAAGCAATTATACTCCAATAAAAAAAAAAGAATACTCATGTGCAAAGAAAACAGTAATCACTGAAATTTACCTGAACAGTTACTATATGCCAGGCGCTATTCTAGGCGTCTTACATGCATTACCTCATTTAATTAGCACAGGAAGCTGTAATAACACTTAACACATAAAGAAACTGAAGTACAGAGAGGTTAATTAACTTGTTCAAAGTAACAACTAATAAGTAAGAGCTGATATATGAATCTCGGCATGGCTTCTGGTCTAAAAGACCAAAGGACTAATTTATATAAAATCTCTTGCAACATGCAGAGCTGAAGTGTTTGGGTTCCACTCAAGACACAAATTCTAGAAGTATGGAATAAAATATAATATTTTGAAAAAAATCATGGTTGAGGTATAGATTCTGTGAAGAATGGGGGCAGTGCAGCATAATTTTTCAATCCCTCTGAACACTCACAGGAAAACAGAAAAACTTGAGAACAAAAGCCCATGGAAAATGTGGGTGACAAACCAGATGAAAAGCCACAAACCCACAAGACTTTTACGGCACTGGAAGCTGGGCAAGAGGAAGAAGGAGGAAGCAACGGGCAGCGTCTGAGAACAAGGGAACCCAAAACAATGGGTATCCAGCAGAAAGCAGGCAGGTTGAAACTGCAACGTCCAAAAGCCTACATGTGAATACTCATAAAAGCTGTATTTGTAGTAGCCAAAGACTGCAATCAGCCCAGATGTCCTTCGATGGTTGGTTAAACTAATTGTGGTGCATTCACACCAAGGAATACTACTCAGCAATACAAAGGAATGAGCCACTGATATATTCAACAGAGGCTAAGTTAAAAAAAAAAGTCAACCCCAAAAGGTTATACATATACTCTATGATTCCATTTATATAGCCTTCTTGAAATGACAGCATTACAGAGAAGGGGAACAGATTATTGGTTGCCAAACGTTAGGGAAGATAAGCAGGAGGGAGGTGGTTGTAGCTATAAAAGGGAAGCAAAGGGATCCATGTGATAAAACTCCTGTATCTTGACTGGAGTCATGCTCATATGAATCTATACATGTGATAAAATCGCATAGAACTAAATGTACACAGGAGTACATGCAAAACTGGTGAAACTCGATAAGGTTGGTGGCTTGTATCAATGTCAGCTTCCTGGTTTTGATATTCTACTTTAGCTAAGCAAGATATTACCACTGGAGGAAACTGGGTGAAAGATACCTAGAATTTCTCTGTATTATTTCTTACAACTGCATGTGAATCTAAAATTACCTCGAAATAATTTTTTTAAGTAATTAAAGAATTTTGAGAGAAAGTGACAAATATTGAGGATAGGCAAAGGAGACCTTCTTCCTGAAGAAGAAAACCAAAGATAAGGAACAAATATTAAAGACTGTCATTCAAGAAAACCTTTCTGAAATTAAAAAAAATAAAATAACACTAAACAACATACCTGAGAATATTAGCCTAGAACAACTGGGCTATAAATGTTGTAACAATAATACCAAGACATAGTCTAGTAAAATTACTGGGCTTAAAAAAAGCTGGGGGGATTATTCAGCTAGAAAAAGAGAACACATGATTTATAAGGGGAAGAAAATTAGATTGTCACCAGTTTTTTGACAGCAATGTTTTGCACCAAAAGAAAATGGAGAAACCCTTCTAATATTCTCAAGGGAAAAAGTGTGAGCCATGGACTTTACATATAGCAAAAATGACTTTCAAGTGTAAAGGGCAGAGAATATTATCAACATGCAAGATTTCAAGAGATACTGATTCCACAGCTCTTCCTAAGGAATCTGCTAGAGAACAAGCTTCATACAACCAAAATGACTCAAGAGGAGGCATCAGTTGTAAGGGCTGGCAGTGAGCAATAAATATGCCGTTACCCAGAAAAGTAAGACTAAATGACAGCAAAGGAGAAAGTATAGTGTGTGATGGATATATGTTCTGACAATATAAATACAGTACACTATTTTTAAAATGGAGTGATTGATGCTTATATAAAATATATAGAGTAGGCAAATTCAGAGAGACAGAAAGTACACTGGAAATTACCAGGGACTGGGAGTAGCAGGAAATGGGGAGTTATTGCCTAATGTTTACAGAGCTTCTGCTCAGGCTGATGAAAAAGTTTTGGAAACAGATGGTGGTGATGGTTGCACAACATTGTGAATATAATTAATGCCACTGAACTGTACACTTTTTTTTTTTTTTTTTTTTTGCAGTACGCGGGCCTCTCCCGTTGTGGAGCACAGGCTCCGGACGTGCAGGCTCAGCGGTCAGGATCTTCCCGGACCGGGGCATGAACCTGTGTCCCCTGCATCGGCAGGCGGACTCTCAACCACTGCGCCACCAGGGAAGCCCTGAACTGTACACTTTAAAGTGGTTAAAATGGCAAATTTTATGTGTTTTTTATATATATATATATATATATATATATATATATATTTTTTTTTTTACCACAATAAAAAACAATGAGGGAATGGTTAATGGGAGGAACATAGGCAAAATATGTTTTTCATGTTTCCAGTAATTATTACTACTGGTATTCTGACACTGTTGTGGTGTAACATGGGACTTTAAAAAAGAGCAATTATGGGATATTCTAATTCCATCTTCCTCTGTCTTTGGTGAGGGAGAAAAGGAGATACAGATGTAACAGAGATGAGATTAAGTAAAAGCTCAACTACAGCCTTGAAATTGAATTGTACCAATATGAATTCAGGAGGTGTTTTACCATCTATCTATAGATGGATCTATCTAAATACAGATTAGATAGATATAAAAGATTGAACAGATGTAATAGGTAGGTACAAATAGGCAAGATAGGTGGATGGATAGACAGAAAGAAAGAATAGATAGATGGATCAATGAATGTAGGGAAGGAAGGAAGGAAAGAAGGAGGGGAGGGGAGGGGAGGGAGGAAGGGAGGGAAGGAAATATATCCCTAGCTCTGTCCACTAAAAGACGTGGAAACAATGATCAACCCAGTGCCATGTTTGTCTCTAGCACCCACATTATGATTGGGAAATACCATTTCTCACTGAAACAAACCAGGGCTTCTTGGAGAAATGGCCGATTCCAGAGTTTGGACAGGACTTGTACAAGATCAGCCTGGAGAACCTTGTCATAGGTGAGAGCAAGAAAGCTATCACTGACTACCAGGCCAGAGTCAAGGTTCTGCCATGTCATTTCAATATTGGATCCTCACCCCAATCCCGCCAGAAGAGGGGACAGTGATTCCCAAATATCACAGCCTAAAAGTCCCAAGACCAAGAGTCAGGGTTCCTCTCCTAGAGCCTGACTCCTGGGGCTGCCAGGGAGCTGCGTCCTGACTCAGAGTGGGAAGGGCATGGCACCCCTGCTCCTGCCTCCATGAGCTTTTCAGAGTGAGCCCTGCTCCATCCCGGAGCATCTGGGGCTGCTTGGCCATTTGCTCTTCTCTGCCTGACAGTCAGAAATGATCCAGAAATACGTGTTTATCAGACATTGCTGTAAATTTCTTTGATACATATTTTTATATAAATGTACCCTAAAGCATGAAACAACTAGCAATCTCATAAACTAGAAAAGAAATACAATGAGGACATAAATGCCCTTCTTTTAAATCAAATGTGCTTTTCCAGATGTATGCAAATAAATGATAAATCATTTCACCTAGAGAGCTACCATAAATATATAAAACTGTCAACGTCTACATTATTAAATTACATGTAAAAAATCATGTCCTGGACGCAAAATAAAACATCTTCTCTCTGTGGGAAACCAACTGTGTGAAGTACAGGAGCAGACCACATGAAGAAGAGAAGCCATTTATAACCAAGAGATCTTACAAGTAATTTTAAAATGCCTTTGGGCATTGATAGAATTTCTGTATTATACTTATAGCGTAAATGGCCATCTGCTCCAACAGACTGTTTTAAAATATATGGAGAAATCGTGGTAAATTTATCTTCGAACTCAGAGGTGAGAGATGCTGTTCCTGTGTTCAGCCAAGCTGGATGACTTCTCCCTGTTAGGTTGCCTGGGGCTCAGGGCAATCACTGTAAAGACTGTTTCGGGTTTCCCTCAGGTGAGGAGGGCCTCCTTCTAGGGACTCTCTAACGTATAACCTGCGGTCTTGGGTGCTCTTTGGCAGGGGTATCTAGCATTCACGCACAGCTAAGGAGAAATTGACAATGGATAGAGATCGTCACAATTCTCTGTTAATGAGGCTAAGGTCTGTGGTTCTATCCTACAGCAGAAAAGCTGGCAAACTTTTTTTCTTTTTCATTTCACCATCCTATGTCACAGGCTAGCCACCATTCAAGGGTCCAGATGAAAGAGGGATGTTGAATCTACTCATCACCACACTTGGGAAAATGCCAACAAGTGAGCCCCACATTCAAACATGTGATGATAATATACTATATCTGAGACTATACAGCCTGTCAAATAAAGACCTGATCCCCTCCCTCAGAGAGGTGAGAAAGGAATGGGTCACAAAATAGAGGGCTAGGGAAATGATGAGGTTGTCCTATGCTGGCTACCCCGTGTTCTACCCAAAGGGTCCCTAAGAAATACCTGTCAAAGATCCTCTGTGGCTGCATCAGGCTGTTGAAAACATGGGTCATGTGATCTTGGGCTGCGGCCACTTCTGGGGGAGGGTTGTATTTGTTCACTGCCGCGACCTTTTCCAGAATTAGAAATGCAAAGGGAAAAGAAAAAAAATTCGTTTTAAAAGGAAGACAAGCCTTAGATTTTCTATAATGAAATGTCCTAGACACGTGACCAGGAATCTGTGTTCTGTCTTCATGTCTACTCTAACTTTCCTAAAACCTAAAGAATAATAATTATTTTAAAGTATTGAGCTGGAGCCCCTTGGTCACCTATTTCTTTATACTCCCTGGTTTGAAAGGAAAAAAGCAAAATCAAAACCTCTAAAGTCTAAGATGACCTTTAATATAGTAAACATTTCAACTTTTAGTATGAAAAGAAATAAAATTCATAGCTCTAGATTCCAGGTAGTTGTTACTGCAGAATTTTTCCTCATGCCATCATGCCAAGAACTATTCCTATGATCTCAAATTCTACTAAACCTCCCCCTCTTTTAGTGTAACTTTCTCTTTTCAAAGATATGGGCCTTTTCCCCACGATGGACAGTTCTCCGTCCCCCGGCCTTGTCATCCCTCTAAATACACTATTCTTGTCTACCATACCTTTATCTAATGCGTGGTTTTAAATGTTATTCCCTTCGCACAATGTTAAAGGGAAAGAGAAATCTAATAAGTGCCTTTGAGTGAGAGAATGATAACAGACTTGCATCTGTAACTATTTTTTAACCAAGATTTCAGAAAGGCATTTATGAACTGGAATATCTGCCTCTTTGCGTTATTTATACCTGCTTTTTCATTCCCATCTCAAATTTGCATCCAGTGTAAGAAACCCCTCATTAGTGGAGATTTCAGCTGACACCAGTCATGACAGCATGACAAATTAGCTTCCACAGGTATGGAAGGGGCTGGCAGGTGCTAGCATTCAATGTCTGGTTACTCTCAACTTGTGTCCAGAAGAATCATTATCTTAAAGAGTAGCATAAAGGATTTAAAAATCAGAGTATTGATTTATTTGAGTCCTTTTCAATGATGTGTTAGAATGACATTATAATTCACTTCATTATTAAGTGAACTTTTCGAGTAACACAGATAGGATCACACACCCTCCAAATATGATTGCTATCATCCAAACTAACAGTCGGCTATACTGCTGCCAGCCTATGTACACGGGGGCTGCTTCTGTTTCCCACAGCCAGTCTCCTCACTGTACCAAGAGCAGGGCTTTCACTGAATTTGTGTTGACACTCAGCTCTGCAGAGGGTGAAACAGATAGATCCTAGGACAAGGAAACGCCCCCTAAATAATGACTGTACATACTGTTATGTAATTATTTATGGATTGTATTGGTCTTGCAGCAGGCAGCATGAGCTTTTGAGCCTATCAACTCATAAACACAGGAAATGATACGATTACATACCTTTTCTTCCACTCTTATCTTCTTCTGATCTAATTCTGTTAATCGAAGTAGCATAAAAATTACGAAGGAACAATAGTCAGATTCTTCCTGTTTAAAATATCAAGAGGGTTATTCAGTTACCTTCCTTTTCCACTAGCAGTCTACTTTCA